TCCAGCCTATCAATACCGATGGAAAAGTGAGTATGATGTAAAATTAATTACATTATACTACTTTCTCAGTAATCTTTATTTTGATTGAATCTTTAAAAACGAATGTAAACAAACAAGAACAAGTCGACTGACACAATAACCTGTCGGGCTTTGTTTAGCGTCGCCCTTCCTAAATTAACAAGTCCAGATCTGTTAACGTAGATCTGGAACTTTCCCGTTCAAGGCCGTTGGAGGCCACGTGACAGAAAAAACAAAACACAACAATGGGTGAAATAAACATATGTTCTTGTAGCTTCTTTTGGAGCTATCGAAGGTTTGCACGTAGCGTCAAAAATGTTCTATGCTATGGAATATATCGATTGTATTTTTTCTAATACTGTATTAAAATCCAAGTGCTTGAATAACTCGTTTAGTTTGAAAATACAAACACACAGTCAATAGTTTTACAATTTCTTGAAAGTCTGATTTGTGACACATTATGGTACGGTGTTTTCAGTTTGTTCTATGTTATCACATTCACTAGACGTAGACTCTTTATTCTTTTGTGATATTTAGCAAATATTTGGATTAAACTGAATTTATTTGCGCACGTGCATGCTGGGTAATCCCATTTCCCGATCGTTGCTGAAATAGACTCACTGAGTCCAGTTAAAGTATGTTGAGTCATGAATTTGTTCTACAAGTCACGTTTGGTTTGAACACTATTTGTTGGAAATAAATATCTTGCATGGTGACCGAGCTTTGCTGAGGCTTATGGATTTTATACTCCTCTTTTTGTTTAATACTAGCTGAACCCGGCAGACGTTGTCTTGCCTTTGACTATTTATAATTTAAGTACCGTAACGTTTAATTGTCTTATTGTATATGAAGTGCTTATAACTAAATTAAAATACGTACGACAACTAATGAAACACATATAGTACAAAGGATAACCGATTCTTTATTATTGCTCTTATATTAATGCTAGTGGGTAGACAATATTTTTGGTCTTTCTATTTGGCTCAATCACGTCCTGGTTGAAGTTCGTTCGCTACGCTCACTCACCTTTAGGTTGGAGCTCGTTCGCTGCGCTCACTTGCCTTCAGGTTAGCTCGTTCGCTACGCTCACTTGCCTTCAGGTTAGCTCGTTCACTACGCTAACTCGCCTCTAGGTTGAAGTTCGTTCGCAATGCTCACTCACCTTTTGGTTGCAAATTAGCTGTTGTCATAAATGTAAAAGGCTGCACCCTGTTGGTAATCCTTGTAACTTTAATGCTATTGAACATCATAGAACAGAACTAACAGCTGTTAAGATTCATTAATTCCATTTCTCATAAGGTTAACATGGGAAACTCCAGAGCCACTGGGGCGAAGCCGATTGGACGGATCACGAAATTGATGGTGTATAAACCTATTCCATGAAATTCTACACGTATGTTCCAAGTTTCGTGGCAATCGGTTCAGCGGTGTCTGAGTTTATCACTGCCAAACAAATATACAAACATCCTCTTTTATACTTATAGATAAGTTATAGTCTTTTTGCAGTTTTTACGTTTTTACACATTGAAATACATGCATGATTGATAATTCAGTTCATTTTAGTCTTTTAAAAGTGTGTTTTACATTTGAGTCTTACATTAAAATAGCCCTACATTTTTCGTAGGCCTATGTTTTATCTTTGACTATCAATACAACTAGACATTCCACCCCCATGTTAAATTTGTAGCCAGCTTTTTCATCAAAATCTTCTGTATCCAATGGCCAATGGTTTTATTAAGGCCAGTATTAAAATGCCGTCTCTAAATCGTCCTAACAATGGTAGATGACCTACATTCCAGTTACATTACAATCATATCCTCCATCAAGAATACTTGGTATTAACAATCATAAATTATTTCCAGCAAAGAAAGCTGAGTTTAACCGATTGCAAGGGTTGAAATGAAGACCAATGTTTATGTTGCACAGTTTAATTTAAATGTCAAATTTCCCCTCCTGTTGTTATACTTTAATACTCGTTTTTTTAATAGTTACTGTTTTTTTATAGTTAAATACTTTAACCGATTGTAAGGGTGAAAAATGAAGTCCAATGTTTTTGTTGTAGGCTACAGTTGAATTTGAATGTTAAATTTCCTTTCTCTTTTTTATACTTTAATGCCCTTTTTGGATGTTAATATCAGATTCCAACTACTGTAATATTTTCCTGGTCAAAACTCCGAACCAAGGAACCACCCTTGGTACAGGTTGAGGCAGGCAGTGGAGCAGGGTAGGGGTGCATAATGCACTTCTGGAAGAGGTATCTGAATAACAAGTCAACTGTTGTATTTTGCTAGTTTATCCTAAGCAAGCAATAGTTTAATAAACACTTCTTTAGAAGCAAATCTAAGTACTAATAGTTAAACTTTCTTAAAAAGTTTGATTAGTACTAATTAAAGTTTTCTTTTTGAATACAGAATACATCTAAAAAAAAAGGAAATATTTGAATGAAAATCCATTAGGTAAATGCAAATTTGCTTATTCTGCAGCATAGGGGTAATAAGTTTGTTGGTGTTAGTTGATATTTGTTTAAATATTTCCTTCGTTATAGAATTGTTGATTATTTTTATATAAAAAGTAAACTTGAGTCAAAGTAAAAACACAAAAACGATTTAACTTTAGATTTATTTTACGGTGTTTACACCATTACAATGTGTACATTCATATTATGATTGATAGAAAAAAATGGAGTATCACCATCACTAGAGAGGTGCAGTGGAAGAGAAGCAACAGCAGCAACCCACGGCCCATCTTCCATCTTCTACGGCATAATCAGAGTCATATGCTGTAAACCAGACCAAGTAAAAAGCGGTATGTTAAACATGTTAAGATGTTTATATGTTCACAGATATGTTAAGATGTTAAAATATGTTAAATAAGTTAAGACAATAAGATAGGATAACGAACAAAAGGGTAGTATAGGGTAATGGTGGGAGGAGTAGGTTATAAAGGCTACTGGGTAGTGTGGGATAAAGGATACAGCTGGGGTGCAGCCGGGCAGGATAGGGTACAGCTAGGGCCTGTAGGGCAGGGTAAGGTATAGTTGGGACCAATAACGCAGGGTAGGGTATACAGATAGAACCTGTAGGTCAGAATAGGATGCAGCTGGGGGCGAGCAGGGCACGGTAGGGTACAGCTAGGGCCAGTAGAGCAGGGTAGGGTGCAAATAGGGCCAGTAGCGTAGGTTAGGGTACAGCTAGGGCCAGGAAGGAAGGGTAGGGTACAGCTAGGGCCAGTAGAGCAGGGTAGGGTGCAAATAGGGCCGGTAGCGTAGGTTAGGGTACAGCTAGGGCCAGGAAGGAAGGGTAGGGTACAGCTAGGGCCAGTAGAGCAGGTTAGGGCACAGCTGGGGCTACGTAGGGCAGGGTGGTGGAGTACAGCTAAGGCTGGTAGAGCAGGGTAGGGTGCAACTGCGGCTGGTATGGGGTATAGCTAGGGCCAGTAGGGCAGGGTAGGGTACAGCTGAGGCTAGTAAGGCAAGGTAGGGTGCAGCTGGAAGCGAGCAGGAAAGGGTTGGGTGCAGCCGGGGGCAAGCAGAACAGGGTAGGACCGGTATGGCAGGGTAGGCCAGTATAGCAGGCTAGGGTACAGCTGGGGGAGGGCAGGGCAGCATAGGGTAGGGTACAGCTAGGGCCAGTATAGCAGGCTAGGGTACAGCTGGGGGCGAGCATGGCAGCGTAAGGTACAGCTGGGGGCGAGCAGGGCAGGGTAGGGTACAGACAGGGCCAGGAGGGCAGTGTAGGGTACATCAAGGGCCAGTAGGGTAGTGTAGGGTACAGCTGGGGGCGAGCAGGGCAGGGCAGGGTAGGGTTACAGCTACCTGGATTTGACAAAATCCAAAATTTAGTCAATCATCTTTATTTTTTTCATGTTCTTTTATGTTTCATTCACAGGCAAATGAAAATCGAATAGACCTACTTCAGAAAACAATGGCCCAGCTTTTGAGCTTCTTGGTGGAGGCAAGCCAAAATACTCCAGGTATTACAAACTCTACATTACGGTATCTTACTTTTATTTCAATGGGGTTTTTCATTCCCATCCTGATTGTGGGATGAGAACGGGATGAAATTTGTAAAAAAATTATTATTAAATGAATCAAATTATAAAACAAGTTTTCTAAAATATATATAAATACCTGATGATCATGCATAAAAAAAGTTGGATTAAAATTATAATCCATGATCCTGATCATCCAGTGCAACTGAGGTATATGCCTAACAAAATTGTTTGCAATTCTATTAACATTGAAAATAATATCTACAAATGGGATAAAAACCCAATATTCTCTTCCCAAAAAGCTCTAGGTTCAAACCCTACTTTGAATTTAAATTAATTCTGTCAAAAAAAAACAAACACAAATTGTCCAATTGTATTTTTCTGCTGGGAAAAATGCTTACTAATAAAAGTATTTACAAATCTAAGGCCATGCTAACCCCCAATTCCATTATTGGTGGATGATGACAAAATCCAAAATTTTGTCTATCATCTTTATTTAGTTCATGTTCTTTTATATTTCATTCACAGGCAAGTGAAAATCGAATAGACCTACTTCGGAAAACAATGGCCCAGCTTCTGTGCTTCTTGGTGGAGGCAAGCCAAAATACTCCAGGTATTCCAAACTCCACATTACGGTATCTTACTTTTATTTCAATGGGGTTTTTCATTCCCATCCTGATTGTGGGATGAGAACGGGATGAAATTTGTTTTCCAGTGAATCAAGGAAATCTTAAGATGGTTTTTAGCCCTATATAATTAATGAGGTTTATTGATGAATAACATTAACTCATCTTTTTATGTTGTAATCTATAATATTTGTAATAACAAATTGTATTTGTAAATAAGGTTATTTGTTTATATCGATGCTCACTCTGCTCAATTGGCAGACATGAGGCCGCATACCTAGTAATATACTAGCTGTGTGCCCGTTCTACGTACGGGTATCTTGTAGTCAGTTGATACCTTCTTATATCCAGAACTGCAGTGGTTTGCATGTTAAGTGTGAATTTTTCCAGATGTGCAGGCAAAACTATTTTAGGAATACACATCCTCAATACTAATGTTAAAAGGTCACAAAACAGGTGTTGTGTGCAATACCTATTAAACTCATAGCTCAATAATGCCATCAACTTCTACCCAAGCCGGACACCGTTTATTTAAGGTGGGCGCCTCCTGCCAGCTAAGCCACACATTATTGAGCTTAGTATGGATAGCCAAGTGTGGGATTTGAACCCACACATGTAGAAAGACCTCAAGGCTACAATCGACAGTGTAACCCCGACTGAGCTACCATGCCACCATTGGCCGATTTCAAGAAGTGCCACTATAAGCACAATAGCGCTTGCAGGTGAGATACAACAAACTAACACCCTGAGCTATACTCAAGCTTAGGTTTTAAAAGGTTGATTTACTGTTTGAGAGTCTTGCTATTTAGTGGTTGCCATGGTACATTATTTTTAAACTAACGATTGTAAGTTATATGTTTAAAATGAATTAAAGTGTGTTTGTAATAACTCTCGTTTAAATTAAGGCGTGTTGCCACCAAGAATAAATTAAGAAACCCATTATGATATGTGTACATGGAATTTCTACAAACATTTGTGTCATATTTGGATTTAGTTTAAAATAACATAATAAGATATTTTTATCAAAAACTCTAGAGAATTAAACTGAGAGCTAAGTAGGCCTGATATGACGACCAATTCAGCATGTATTGTGCAAATCCAGCTGTGATGTATGTATGTCCAGGCTCCGTACCTACCCTGGGTGCTGCTGAGATTCTCAGTTCTGCTGGACAATCTGTGGACCTCATGGGGATGATTGTCGGGTGATGCTATTACTTCTTAGGGATGTCTTGCCCCACCAGAACGGAGGATTTAGAATTCTCAAGACCCCTCAGATCTTGTGAGTAGCACTTCACATTTACTACCTACTTGATATAGGTTGATTAAAATTAAACGTGTGATATTAGACTGAGACGATTTTTGGGCTGAATGTGCTTTAAATTTACTCACTTATACAGTCTTCCAGTTAAAGGGGCTACAGGTAGGACAGTGTAGGGTAATGCGGTAACAGGCTAGGGTAGTACCGATAGGGTACTGGGGCTGGTAGGGCACTTTAAACTATTAGAGCTACTGGAGGGCAGTGTAGGGTACTGGGGCTAGAGGTTAGCTGGGGCCAGTAGGGCAGAATTGGGGTACAGCTGGTTGTACCAGAGCAGGGTAGGGTGCAGCTGGGGGCTGGGTAGAGTACAGCTGGGGCGAGCAGGACAGCGTAGGGTGCAGCTAGGGCGAACAGGGCAGTATAGAGTACAGCTGGGTGTAACAGGGCATCGTAGGGTACAGCTAGGGCGAAAAGGGCAGTATAGAGTACAGCTGGATGTAGCAGGGCATCGTAGGGTACAGCTAGGGCGAAAATTGCAAGGTATAGAGTACAGCTGGGTGTATCAGGGCATCGTAGGGTACAGCTAGGGCGAACAAGGCAGTATAGAGTACAGCTGGGCTAACAGGGCAGGGTTTACAGCTGGAGACTGACGGGCAGGGCATCGTAGATTACAGCTGGGGGCGAGCAGGGCTGGGCAGACAGAATGTGCTAGTGACTAAATTTATATTTCTAAAAATTCTATTTCCTACCTTATTTTTGTTGCTGGCCACGTTGATGGGTCATAACAGTTGATATATAGCTCACAATAAGTCCTTCCATTAGTTTGAATTAGTAAAAAAGATTGTGTATTTGACAGAAATTAGCAATTTTGATCAGCACAATCTGTCGGTGGCTCACATCAACTACGAAAATTTTGGTAAAAGAACTGGCTACAAATTTTAACATGGGGATGGAATGTCTAGTTGTATTAATAGTCAAAGGTACCCTGTAGTAACGATTGAAGCCCTGAAGGTAACGATTGTAGTAGGTTAGTTACATGAGTAATGGGTTAGATTTTACTGTCTTTGGAAATTTTGAAATTTTATAATTTATTTTATGTAATTTGATTTTTTGCCAGTCTTTATCAGTAATTTATCAGTAATTTCCATAAACCAGTATTTTTTAACCTCTGCAACCTAAACGTTAGCAGGCAGCGAATCCCGCCAAAATTAGCCTCACTTTCAAGCCAAGTCTGGTCAAACATACTACCTTACAGAATAAGCATACGGGAGGGACTCTGGCTAAAGGTGTGGTGACGTCATGTGGCTAATGTCTTCTCTTGAGGCATCACGATTACCCTAACGAGACGATGTGATTCCAGCGGCGTTCGTGGCATAGTTGATAGCGTTTCGGTCTGGTGTTCAGGAGGTCTCCAGAAAGAAACCAGCCGGGGACATTTACTTTTTGTCAAAGATTTTGCTTTGAATGTGACTACTTCTTAAACTGTACATCTTTTAATAGAATTTGATGCATTTATAATTTTATTTATGAACAGAAAGTTTTTTTTAAGTAAACCTTTTTTTGATTTTTATCTTATATCTTTTTTATATTATCAGCAAGTTTGGTTGGTTAGGTTAGGTTATGACAGTTTATAATTTTATAATACTAAATTTTAAAATTAATTTTACAATTAAAGATTATAAGCAAACATTCATTTGATTTTTTTGTTATATATCTTGTTATATTATCAGCAAGATTGGTTGGTTAGGTTAGGTTATGACAGTTTAATTTTATGATTAAAAAGTTGATTTTATAACTAAACATTATAAATTTTATTTAAATTTTTTCAACTTATCGGTTCTAGCGGCGGACGCTGACACTAATAGAAATGTTAGCCATAGTCCCTCCCGCGTGCCCCACCTACCTTACTGCCAAATTAAAACTAACTTTTCTGTATTTACCCTAAATTAACCTCATCCACGATTAGGTTTAGTCAGAACAACTGTTTATGTTAAAATCATATTTTATTGACACCAGTTTTATACAATTGATAATTCAGTGTGACCACACGGCTGCAAGACAATGGTAGAGGTATTTGGAGTGGACAAATCATGAAGTTCTCGGTTGGGTTGAATCCTGGATGTTGTTAAGTAGTCCAACCGCTCCGATGTTTGTCAAAGTTTCAGTGTCTCACGGAGTTCTGACCAGAGCAGACACTATCTCTCACTCCCTCTCCATATGTGTAGTTATATAACATTTCTCTGGTAACTGGAACAGCATCTAAGGACGCCAAGGAAAAAGAGGTGTCATCATCCATAGCTTGAAACAGGATATGTGCTAAAAAGAACCAAGTTTCTCAATGCATTATGGATCAACCCAACATGGTTCCAATGCATTGTGAGATTGGTTCATCATATACATACACAAAGTTGGAGAGAAAGCTGCATACAACTTTGCGATCTATTTTGCAGATATGTTAATGCAACCATAATATAACTTCCAAGTTCCTACTATTTCAACAGTTCTTTAGGATATAATCTTGAAAACTCCAAAATAACAGTAATAGATATTAGGTTATTTAACTAGTAGGCCTGATATGTTGAGCCATTCAGCATGTATTGTACAACTCTAGCTGTGATGTTTGTCCAGGCTGCTGGGATTCTCAGTTCTGCTGGACAACATCTGGATTGTACTAGTTACTACTTCTTAGAGGATGGCCTTCTCTACCAGAATGGAGGATTTACAATTCTTAAGACTCCTAAGATGTGAGTGGCCCCTTATAATTTATTTATTTATTTATTTATATTTATTTAAATAATAATCACAATCATTATGGTTTGGGGGGTACAGGGGCTATGGGGTAGGGCGTAGAGGTTACGAGGTAGGGTAGCATAGGGAGTAGAGGTTACGAGGTAGGGTAGCATAGGGTACCGAGGTTACGAGAAAGGGTAGCATAGGGTACCGAGGTTACAGGTTAGGGTAGCATAGAGTAACAAGGTTACAGGCTAGGGTAGCATAGAGTACCGAGGGTACGGGATAGGGTACAGAGGCTGTAAAGGCAGTTGGTGGTAGGGAGGGTAGCATAGGGTACCGACGTTACAGGCTAGGGTAGCATAGAGTATCGAGGGTACAGGTTAGGGTACCATAGGGTACAGAGGTTACGGGATAGGGTACAGAGGCTGTAAAGGCAGTTGGTGGTAGGGAGGGTAGCATAGGGTACAGAGGCTGAAAAGGCAGTTGGTAGGGCAGTGTAGAGTAGGTACAGGATACGGGTAGGGCAGTGAAGGTTTAGGGGCTTAAGGGAGAGGCAGTGTAGAGTGCAGGGTAGCAGAGGTAATTAAGGGACAGCAAGGGCTACTGATAGGGCAGTGTTGTGTGCATGACTAATGGTAGGGTGCAGGGCTACTGATAAGGAAGTGTTGTTTGCATGACTGGTGATAGGCAGTGTTGTGTGCAGAGTTGGTAATGGAGCTAATAAAGGGGTAGCGTAGTGTACAGGGGCTGGGCTAGAGCGGTGTTGGGTGCAGGGCTACTGGGGAGGGCAGTGTTGGGCGCAGGACTACTGGTAGGGTAATGTAGGGTAAAGAAGCTAATAAAAGGGTAGCGTAGTGTACGAGGGATACGAGGTAATGGAGTGTTGGGTGCAGGGCTACTGGTAGGGCAACAGAGCTAAGAAAGATGTAGTGTGGTGTAGTGTACGAAAACTAGGGTGTAGGGCTACTGGTAGGGCAGTGTTGGGTGCAGGGCTACTGGTTGGGCAGTGTTGGGGCAGGACTACTGGTAGGGTAATGTAGGGTAAAAAAACTAATAAAAGGGTAGGTAGTGTACGAGGGCTACGAGGTAATGCATATATAGCTGGGCCCAGTAGAGCAGGGTAGGGTATGTCTAGGACCGGTATGGAAGGGTAGGGTATACAGCTGGGCCCAGTAGAGCAGGGTAGGGTAAAGCTAAACCGGAATGGCAGGGTAGGGTATATAGCTGGTGCCAGTAGAGCAGGGTAGGGTACAGCTAGGACCGGTATGGCAGGGTAGGTTATTCTGCTGGGGCCAGTAGGGCTGGGTAGAATGCAGCTGGGGACAAAAGGGGCAGGGCAGGGAAGAGTAGGGTACAGCTGGGGCTATTAAGGCATGGTAGGGTATACATCTAGAACCAGTAGGGCAGGGACCAGTAGAGCAGGGTAGGATACAGCTAGGGCTTGTAGAGCAGGGTACAACTAGTACCGGTGTGGCAGGGTAGGGTATACAGCTGGGGCCAGTAGAGCAGGGTAGGGTATGGCTAGTGCTAGTAGATCAGGGTAGGGTACAGTTGGGGCCAGTAGGCCTGGGTAGAATGCAGCTGGGGGCAAGCAGGGCAGGGTAGGGTACAGCTAGGGCTAGTAGAGCAGGGTAGGGTACAGCTAGGGCCAATAAGGCAGGATAGGGTACAGCTAGTGCCAATAGAGCAGGGTAGGGTACAGCTTGGACTGGTATGGCAGGGTAGGTTATACAGCTAGGGCTAGTAGAGCAGGGTAGGGTACGGCTAGGGCTAGTAGAGCAAGGTAGGGTACAGCTAGGGCTAGTAGGGCAGGGTAGGGTACAGCTAGTGCCAGAAGAGCAGGGCAGGGTACAGCTGGGGCCAGTAGGGCTAGGTAGAATGCAGTTGGGGGCAAGCAGGGCAGGGTTGGGTACAGCTAGGGCTTGTAGAGCAGGGTACAACTAGTACCGGTGTGGCTGGGTAGGGTATACAGCTAGGGCTTGTAGAGCAGGGTACAACTAGTACCGGTGTGGCAGGGTAGGGTATACAGCTGGGGCCAGTAGAGCACGTTAGGGTATACAGCTGGGGCCAGTAGAGCACGTTAGGGTATATAGCTGGGGCCAGTAGAGCAGGTTAGGGTACAGCTAGGACCTGAATGGCAGGGTAGAGTATACAGCTGGGGCCAGTAGAGCAGGGTAGGGTACAGCTAGTGCCAGTAGAGCAGGGTAGGGTACAGCTAGTGCCAGTAGAGCAGGGTACGGTACAGCTAGTGCCAGTAGAGCAGGGTACGGTACAGCTTGGACCGGTATGGCAGGTTAGGTTTTACAGCTAGGGCTAGTAGGGCAGGGTAGGGTCCAGCTAGTGCCAAAAGAGCAGGGTAGGGTACAGCTGGGGCCAAAAGAGCAGGGTAGGGTACAGCTGGGGCCAGTAGGGCTAGGTAGAATGCAGCTGGGGGTAAGCAGGGCAGGGTAGGGTACAGCTAGGGCTAGTAGAGCATGGTAGGGTACAGCTAGGGCCGGAATGGCAGGGTAGGGTCCAGTAGAGCAGGGCAGGGTACGGCTAGGGCTAGTAGAGCAAGGTAGGGTACAGCTAGGGCTAGTAGGGCAGGGTAGGGTACAGCTAGTGCCAGAAGAGCAGAACAGGGGACAGCTGGGGCCAGTAGGGCTAAGTAGAATGCAGTTGGGGGCAAGCAGGGCAGGGTTGGGTACAGCTAGGACCTGAATGGCAGGGTAGAGTATACAGCTGGGGCCAGTAGAGCAGGGTAGGGTACAGCTATTGCCAGTAGAGCATGGTAGGGTACAGCTAGGGCTAGTAGGGCAGGGTAGGGTACAGCTAGTGCCAGAAGAGCAGAACAGGGTACAGCTGGGGCCAGTAGGGCTAGGTAGAATGCAGTTGGGGGCAAGCAGGGCAGGGTTGGGTACAGCTAGGACCTGAATGGCAGGGTAGAGTATACAGCTGGGGCCAGTAGAGCAGGGTAGGGTACAGCTAGTGCCAGTAGAGCAGGGTAGGGTACAGCTATGGCTATTAGAGCAGGGTAGGGTACGTCTAGGACCGGTATGGCAGGGTAGGGTATATAGCTGGTGCCAGTAGAGCAGGGTAGGGTACAGCTAGAACCAGAATGGCAGGGCAGGGTACTGCTAGGGCTAGTAGAGCAGGGTAGGATGCAGTTGGGGCCAGTAGAGCAGGGCAGGGTACTGCTAGGGCTAGTAGAGCAGGGTAGGATGCAGCTGGAGGCGAGCAGGGTATACAGCTAAAACCAGTAGGGCTGGGTAGGGTACAACTAGGATCGCCAGTAGTAGGGTAAGGCTAGGGCTAGAAAGGCAGGATAGGGTATACAGCTAGAACCAGTAGGGCAGGGTAGGGTACAGCTAGGGCTAGTAGAGCAAGGTAGGTTACAGCTAGGACCGGTATGGCAGGGTAGGGTATATAGCTGGGGCCAGTAGAGCAGGGTTGGTTACAGCTAGGACTGGAATGGCAGGTTCAGCTGGGGCCAGTAGAGCAGGGCAGGGTACTGCTAGGGCTAGTAGAGCAGGGTAGGATGCAACTGGGGGCTAGCAGGGCAGGGTAGGGTACAGCTAGGGCTAGAAAGGCAGGATAGGGTATACAGCTAGAACCAGTAGGGTAGGGTAGGGTACAGCTAGGGCTAGTAGAGCAGGATAGGATGCAGCTGGAGGCGAGCAGGGCAGGGTAGGGTACAGCTAGGGCTAGAAAGGCATGGTAGGGTATACAGCTAGAACCAGTAGGGCAGGTAGGGTATAGCTAGGCCTAGTAGAGCAGGGTAGGGTACAGCTAGGGCCAATAAGGCAGGAAAGGGTACAGCTGAGGCCAGTAGAGCAGGGTAGGGTATAGCTGGGGCCAGTAGAGCAGGATAGGGTATACAGCTAGAACCAGAAGGGCAGGGTAGGATGCAGCTGGGGTCCAAGAGGGCAGGGTAGGGTACAGCTAGGGCTAGAAAGGCATGGTAGGGTATACAGCTAGAACCAGTAGGGCAGGGTAGGGTACAGCTAGGACCGGTATGGTAGGGAAGGGTACAGCTAGGGCTAGAAAGCAGGGTAGGGTATACAGCTAAAACCAGTAGGGCTGGGTAGGGTACAGTTAGGGCTAGTAGAGCAGGATAGGATGCAGCTGGAGGCGAGCAGGGTAGGGTATAGGGTACAGCTAGGACTAGAAAGGCAGGATAGGGTACAGCTGAAGCCAGTAGAGCAGGGTAGGGTATAGCTGGGGCCAGTAGAGCAGGATAGGGTATACAGCTAGAACCAATAGGGCAGGGTAGGGTACAGCTAGGGCTAGTAGAGCAGGATAGGATGCAGCTGGAGGCGAGCAGGGTAGGGTATAGGGTACAGCTAGGGCTAGAAAGGCAGGATAGGGTACAGCTGAAGCCAGTAGAGCAGGGTAGGGTATAGCTGGGGCCAGTAGAGCAGGATAGGGTATACAGCTAGAACCAATAGGGCAGGGTAGGATGCAGCTGAGTCCAACAGGGCAGGGTAGGGTACAGCTAAGGCTAGAAAGGCAGGGTAGGGTATACAGCTAGAACCAGTAGGGCAGGGTAGGGTACAGCTAGGGCTAGTAGAGCAGGGTAGGGTACAGCTAGGACCGGAATGTCAGGGTAGGGGATACAGCTGGGGCCAGTAGAGCAGGGCAGGGTACAGCTAGGGCCAGTAGAGCAGGGCAGGGTACTGCTAGGGCTAGTAGAGCAGGGTAGGATGCAGCTGGGGGCGAGCAGGGCAGGGTAGGGTACAGCTAGGGCTAGAAAGGCAGGGTAGGGTATACAGCTGGGCCCAGTAGAGCAGGGCAGGGACGGCTAGGGCTAGTAGAGCAAGGTAGGGTACAGCTAGGGCTAGTAGGGCAGGGAAGGTACAGCTAGTGCCAGAAGAGCAGAACAGGGGACAGCTGGGGCCAGTAGGGCTAGGTAGAATGCAGCTGGGGGTAAGCAGGGCAGGGTAGGGTACAGCTAGGGCTAGTAGAGCATGGTAGGGTACAGCTAGGGCCGGAATGGCAGGGTAGGGTATACAGCTGGGCCCAGTAGAGCAGG